TTTCGTCATGCGCGCGCACGCAAATCTTTCTTACCTCGGGAAAGGAAAGAAAGGAGAGAGGAGATATCATAGACTGACAGGAAGAGGTGGGTGGGGGTTGGGTGTTTTTAAAAACACCCAACCCGAAAAGAATTTTTTCTCTCTTGTAGGAAATGGTGAATTCCTCGTCGTCCTAGATGACCCGAGCCGTGAGAACGAAGCCGACCTGATCATGGCGGCCGAGGACATGACACCGGAGAAGATGGGCTTCATGGTCCGCCACTCGTCGGGTCTGATCTGCGCGCCCGTGTCGGCCGAGGTGACGGACCGCCTCGCCCTGCCCCAGATGGTCTCGCGCACCGAGGACCCCCGATCGACGGCCTACACCGTGTCCGTCGACGCCGCCGACGCGTCCGTCACCACCGGCATCAGCGCCCACGACCGGTCCCTGGTCTGCCGCGTCCTAGCCGACCCTTCCTCCGCCGCCGCCGACCTGCGCCGCCCCGGCCACGTCTTCCCCTTGCTCGCCCGTCCCGGAGGCGTACGACAGCGTCCCGGCCACACCGAGGCCGCCACCGAGTTCTGCCGCCTCGCCGGCAAGGCCCCCGCCGGCGTCATATCCGAGATCGTCGACGACGGCGAGCCCGTGCCCGGCCGCGCCCTGCACTCCGGCCCCGGCATGCTGCGCGGCGAGCAGTGCGTCGTCTTCGCCAGGAGATGGGGCCTCAAGGTCTGCACCATTGCCGACCTGGTCGACCACGTCGAGCGCACCGAAGGGAAGCTCCAGCCTGCCAACGGGGCGGATCAGTAAAGAAAAAATTGCCGTTCCCCGTTCGTCTTGCGCTTCGCTATCCTTTTTTTTCCCTTCTATTTTTATCTTTTCCTTTTTTTTTCTCTTATCCTCTCGGCTATTATTCCAATCCCCCCCCCTCTCTCCCCTTATCTCTCTCCTTGTATATTCTGCACCCCTTCCTTCGCACATATCCATTCTTCGTCTTCTCTATGTCTCGTCTGTTTGGGAAAAAAAAATAGGTTAGGGCCTAGGTTGGGGCCTAGGTTAGGGAATCAAAATCTTTCGAACACCTTGAAGGCTGAAGGAAAAGAAAAGAAGTCTTGGGGTATTGATGATTCTGTCTGTTGAAATCAAATTGCCTGCATCGTCGGATTTGTATGCTGTGCCTTTTATGACCTTATTACGCTACGTCTAGCCGTAATTCTACACGAGTTGAAATATGCCTATACTGTACATCCATGTTCTTCCAATCTCCCTCGTGGTCCGTGTAATATGTTCCGCCCAATTTCAATGTGTGGCCATTGTATAATCTAATAGTATATATAAGCAAGAAAACCGCCTTGAACCGTTGGGTCCTTCTCCGTGAGCTGGCGTGTGCCGTGTGGTGTGGTTGAATGCCCGTCTCGATTATCCAGAAGAGAGGCTTTTTTTTTTTTTTTGGGGGGGGGGGGGGGGGGG